TTAACATGTGGATTGAACGGCTTGTAATTCTCTTGTGGACATTTTAAATTGGATGGCTTTCCTGGAAATGGAGGAAATAATTATCATTCAATAGTTAATATTTAAATAAGTATTTCTCTGTAACAAAACCGAGCTAAGGATCTCAACAACTTGTTATATAATGAATTGATGATACGAAACTGCGGTGAATAAATGTGTAAGACATAATGATCGTCACGATGAAATGAACGCTCGACAACACACTTGATTCATATCTCAGTTGGTAAAGCACTGCACCGGCATCGCAAAGGCCATGGGTTCGATTCCTTTTGAAGCACGAAATTTCATCGGGCGATACATTATTAATAATCACTTAGATTATTCTTTCACTGCAGCGATCTTTACTCCTTACGCAACTTGTTATATACCTATTTCAAAGAAGGTTTTCGGATAAAATGGCGAATGTCCGATGTCGAGCGGCGATTGCACAACCGAAAGCAGCCATGGGTTTTGCTAGTTGAAAGGCAATAGCAACTAATTTGTACAGTAAGATGGTCTATGGTAAACATTGGCTCCATTTAGTCTCCATTTCTATGTAAGGTGAATGCAATAAGTGAAATTTTCTTTATCAAAACATTGTAACCATAGTCCCTTTCGGCCGTGCAATCTCTCTTCGACAATCGCCGATGGCGATTTTATGAAATAGCTGTATACCTAGATTCCTAAGTGTCATTGGAAATACTGATCTCTCTGCTAGGTTTGGCTTCTCGTCGATGCTGTCCCTCAGTGTAGCTAACGGATCTGCCACCAGGCGACGGAAGGAAAGAACGAAAAACACTGCCAAAGCCTTCGCACCTGATGGATGCATTGGATTCGGCTCAGGCCTAGAAAGTAGAAATGACAACCGTTATYGTCATACAGCAGMCWTTGTACTCTYTTAAAGRTCTCAAATTTCATTTTTATGTTTTTTCTTACCTTGCATCACTAAAATGTACATTGACAAAGTCTGGGTGGATTTTGTAGATCTGTTTCACCTAGATTATCATAAAAAAACATAAATTATTACATTTATAGATGGACATCATAGAATATGACGAGAGTGATGAAATAATCATTGAAAAAAGTCGAAATAAAACGCTTGTTATCACTGCCAGAAGCTTCCATTTCACGCTTGTTGTAGATTCAAAATCGTCAGTAAAGCTTACGTTTTGCTTACCGATTTTTCTAAATTTTTCTGCAACTCTAGATAATATGACCCAGCATGGTTCAAAAGCTGTTGATACCATACTTGCTTGAATCGTATGGTAACACAAACTTCATTGGCTGACCCTAAAAAAAAGAAAAAAAACATCAGAATCAAAATAACTAGAGCAGGGTTTACTTAGGCTCAGTCTCCAGCCGTCGGGATTTCGTGCGCCCGCGATACTCTCTCCCTTGACGGAGCTTTCTTTAATCCTTCCCACAGGAAACGTTATAAAGAGCGAACTATTGAGAGATGAGTCGGTGTTTCTAAGATAAAAACGTTACCCAAAACATAACTGAGTCACGTTGAAAGAAAGGAACGTAGTAGCGTTGATCCCTCTGTAAGAAACTAGTGCTCAACTTTCAAAACGACACATTTTCTCTTTGTTTACAATTGAAAGTTATCTCTTTATATAAAAGTTACTGCTATATAGATAATTGAGTTACCTGGAGGTACTGTTGGACTGGTTTCCAGTGGTACAGGAGGAGGCGTAGTKAGTACAGGACAGCCTTGGTTGTTTGGTCCTTTKGCTGCAGTAACCCCATCGGGACAGCACCTGTATACAGTCACCACGCATACAATAAGCGCWGGAGGAACAGCAGGGGTCGTGACTGGAGCACTAGTCGTGGTACTTTGCAGACAATTGGGCTGCCTTTCATCAAGTCTTGTTCCTGCTTGCTCTACGCCCGAGTCGACGTCAACACACCAACATTGGGTCTTGCCGGTAACAGGAAACGTGTAGCATTGAACCTCATTGTACTGTCCATTGGGTTTACACTCAGGAATGAAAATATCCATCACACCCAATGATGCCTTTGCTTGTTCTTCTTTGCATTTGGATGGTTTGGGGGTTGTTTTCTGTAGCACCACGGGGCATCCTTCTTTGTTTGGTCCCTTAGCCGGTGTAA